CTCCTGGTAGTGGGCAGAACATCCTGGTGGTTCCCAGCACGGGGCAGGCAGTGGCTGGTGTCCAGCTCCAGGCGGTGGCAGGGACACTGCCAGGGTCCAGCATCATCGTCTTGAGAGGTGGCATCAGGAGTGTCCTCCCACCACGGACACCTCAGCCCCCTGAGGTCACTGGTGTCCAGCTGCAGGCAGCTGAGGTGACCAACGTCCAGCTCCAAACCCTTCCACAACCCTTGGAGGTCACCAACATCCAGCTCCAAGCTGCCGAGGTGACAAATGTCCAGCTCCAAGCCACGGAGGTGACAAGTGTCCAGCTCCAAACCCTTCCACAACCCTTGGATGTCACCAACATCCAGCTCCAAGCTACCGAGGTGACAAATGTCCAGCTCCAAGCCCTGCCACAACCCTCCAAGGTGACCAACGTCCAGCTCCAAGCCCTACCACAACCCTTGGATGTCACCAACATCCAGCTCCAAGCTCTGCCACAATCCTCAGACATCACCAACATCCAGCTGCAACACAACCCTCAGACATCACCAACATCCAGCTGCAAGCCACCGAGGTGACCAATGTCCAGCTCCAAGCTCTGCCACAACCCTTGGATGTCACCAACATCCAGCTCCAAGCTCTGCCACAATCCTCAGACATCACCAACATCCAGCTGCAAGCCACCGAGGTGACCAATGTCCAGCTCCAAGCTCTGCCACAACCCTTGGATGTCACCAACATCCACTGCCACAATCCTCAGACATCACCAACATCCAGCTGCAAGCCACCGAGGTGACCAATGTCCAGCTCCAAGCTCTGCCACAACCCTTGGATGTCACCAACATCCAGCTCCAAGCTCTGCCACAATCCTCAGACATCACCAACATCCAGCTGCAAGCCACCGAGGTGACCAATGTCCAGCTCCAAGCTCTGCCACAACCCTTGGATGTCACCAACATCCAGCTCCAAGCTCTGCCACAATCCTCAGACATCACCAACATCCAGCTGCAAGCCACCGAGGTGACCAATGTCCAGCTCCAAGCTCTGCCACAACCCTTGGATGTCACCAACATCCAGCTCCAAGCTGCTGAGGTGACAAATGTCCAGCTCCAAGCCCTGCCACAACCCTCCAAGGTGACCAACGTCCAGCTCCAAGCCCTACCACAACCCTTGGATGTCACCAACATCCAGCTCCAAGCTGCTGAGGTGACAAATGTCCAGCTCCAAGCCCTGCCACAACCCTCCAAGGTGACCAACGTCCAGCTCCAAGCCCTACCACAACCCTTGGATGTCACCAACATCCAGCTCCAAGCTGCTGAGGTGACAAATGTCCAGCTCCAAGCCCTGCCACAACCCTCCAAGGTGACCAACGTCCAGCTCCAAGCCCTACCACAACCCTTGGATGTCACCAACATCCAGCTCCAAGCTGCTGAGGTGACAAATGTCCAGCTCCAAGCCCTGCCACAACCCTCCAAGGTGACCAACGTCCAGCTCCAAGCCCTACCACAACCCTTGGATGTCACCAACATCCAGCTCCAAGCTGCTGAGGTGACAAATGTCCAGCTCCAAGCCCTGCCACAACCCTCCAAGGTGACCAACGTCCAGCTCCAAGCCCTACCACAACCCTTGGATGTCACCAACATCCAGCTGCAGACCACCGAGGTGACAAATGTTCAGCTGCAAGACCTGCCACAACCTTCCGAGATCACCAACATCCAGCTCCAAGCCCTACCACAGCCCTCAGAGGAGCCCAGCATCCATCTCCAGGCCACGGAGGTGCCCAGTGTCCATCTGCAGACCACGGAGGTGGCAAATGTCCATCTCCAAACTGCCGAGGTACCCAACATCCATCTCCAAGCCCCAGAAGTGTCCAATGTCCATCTCCAAACCACAGAGGTCCCCAGTGTCCATCTTGAGGCCACAGAGGTCTCCGGTGTCCATCTTGAAGCCGCGGAGGTGCCCGACATCCACCTTGAAGCCACAGAGGTCCCCAGTGTCCACCTTGAAGCCACAGAGGTCCCCAGTGTCCATCTTGAGGCCACAGAGGTCCCCAGTGTCCATCTTGAGGCCACGGAGGTGCCCAACATCCATCTCCAGACCATGAAGATGACTGGTGGTAACCTGCAGGCCACTGAGGTGACCAGCATCCATCATCAAACCATGGAGGTGCCCAGTGTCCCTCTCCAGACTGCAGAGGTGCCCAGTGTTCATCTCCAGGACGCAGAGGTGACCACTGTCCAGCTGCAAGCCACTGAGGTGTCCAGCATCCATCCCCAGACCACGGAGGTGACAAATGTCCATCTCGAGGCCACAGAGGTGCCAAGTGTCCATCTCCAGACCACTGAGGTACCCAGTGTGTGTCACCAAACCACTGAGGTGCCCAGCGTCCATCTCCAAGTCACTGAGGTGCCCAGCGTCCATCTCCAGACCACGGAGATGACTGATGTCCATCTCCAAGACACTGAGGTGTCCAGTGTCCATCACCAAATGATGGAGGTGCCCAGTGTCCAGCTCAAGACCATGGAGTTACCTAACGCCCAACTCAAGACCACAGAAGAGGTGCCCAACATCCAACTCAAGACAATGGAGGTACCCAGTGTCCAGCTCAAGACCATGGAGGTGCCCAGTGTCCAACTCAAGCCCACGGAGGTGCCTAATGTCCAACTCAAGACTGTGGAGGTGCCCAATGTCCAACTCAAGACCGTGGAGGTACCCAATGCCCAACTGAAGACCATGGTGGTACCCAACATCCAACTCAAGACCATGGAGGTACCCAGTGTCCAATTGAAGACTGTGGAGGTTCCCAACGCCCAACTCAAGCCCATGGAAGTATCAAACACCCAACTCAAGTCTACGGAGATGCCCAACATCCAACTCAAGCCCATGGAGGTTCCCAATGTCCACCTCCAGGCTCCAGAGATGTCCAACATCCAGCTGCAGCCCCCTGAGATGCTCCTGGCAGGGGGGAACCCATCCCCTTCCCCGTCCCCACGGCTGGCGCTGGTGGGGACACCCGG